TGGAGAAACACCACGTAATGGCAAAATTATGGATTAGTCATTCTTTGTAATATTTTCGGGGTGTTGGACACTACTATAGTTGTTGTTTTTGGTATGAATTGATTGGGGTGTGTTGGGTTGTTGTAAGCTAAATATAATATTGATTTCGACTTGCATCTTCTGTATGAGGTAATTATATTGTGTTCCTACAGGTTCTTACGGTTATCTTGGCATTGGTTAAGTTAAATGGATGAACTAGACATGAACTATTGAATAAAGTTGCTAATTAAGAATAGTTGGAGTTGTGGATCATTTCCTTTGTTATGGATATATGGTATAAGGCTGGAATTATTGATGAATGACTTTATTATCATGTTAAATGATACTATTAAGTTAAAGTAAAAAGTCTATAAGGGATGATATGGGTATACAAATTTCAATTGGAGCTTGTCGCTCATCGTAAAATAGTTATGACTTATTGTTGTTTTATGGTGTCTTGTTATTGATAATTATGTATTGCTGGATTTCTCTGGTAATTGTTGTTGGTATATGATATTGGAAAAGGCTCTTGTTATAGGGGAAATGATGCCCGAATTTATATAAACGAGCTACAAGTTTAAGTTGCAGACTTAGCCTCTATTCAACACTGATTTTGAATTTCCTTATGCAAAGGTAGGTTGAGTTGAGTTGTTTGAAGAGTAGCTTGAGAGGTATTAAGGACTCACCATGGTTAAGGTATGTTAAGGCACTTCCTTATTTCTTTTGGCATAATCTAAAGTGAAATGAATACGCTATTTCATAACGGATCTACTCCTAGAAACTAAGGTTGCTCATGTTGTTCTTTCCTTATAAAGTTATTTTAAGCAAGTATGTACGATCCTTGAATCCTATAGAAGCTCATATTGATGGTATGATGTCCATAATGTTAATCGAAGGTGTAACGACTTTAAGGCACTCCAAAAGGTTTAGAACATGATTCCATGAGTCTAGCATGCATTATATATAACATCTATTTTACTCTACCGAGCCGCGCTATAGTAGGCCGGGTATGACACCTATTGTGCAACCACTGATCAGTTGGATTTACCGAGCTCCACGTGGCCGGGTACGTTTTTACCGAGTCCTCTTTGAGGTCGGGTACAATATGATGATGATGATGCCCACATAGGCTTATGTTTTTAAAGTTTATGTATATATATGTATTATGCATTTCATGTCAGTAGCCTCTAGAGGCACTCATATGTTACAGGTTGTATTTCCTCTATCCCTCTTTACATTAATGTTCTTGTTTATGCTTTCCTGCCTTACATACTCGGTACTTTATTTGTACTGACGTCCCTTTTGCCTGAGGACGCTGCGTTTCATGCCCGCAGGTCCCGATTGATAGGTTGACAGTCTTCCTCGTAGGTTATCAGCTCAGCGGATGTGTTGGTGCACTCCACTTACTCCGGAGTTGCCTATTTGGTCAGTATACTTTGGATATGTATTGATTGGTATGGCGGGCTCTGTCCCGACCTTTATGATTTTATGTACTCTTAGAGGCTTGTAGATAGATGTGAGGTTTATGGATACTTGTATGGCCTTGTTGGCCCATGTGTTGAGTTTACAAATGGTCATGTCTGCCTTATAGGCCCGTATGTCACATGTATAAGTTTGTATATCATGTTGGGTCGTCATATGTTGAGTATTCCCTTACGTTTTATTCTTATTATCTCATAATGGGTTTCTGGCTCATTTACTCAAGATAGTATAATAAGAAAGATATGTTATGTTGGTACTCGGTTGAGTAAGGCACCGGGTGCCGGTCACGGCCCTTCGGTTTGGGTCGTGACATTAATGTTGCTACTCTCAGCACTTATTGTAACACCATATTTCTGAAGAAATGTTATATGTCCTTCAGAAATGATGACGATACGGACTTTGATGCCTTCCAATAACATTGAAAGATTATCATGCTGAGCTTCAAATAACTTCTCCGACAATGAAAGATGGGATTTTTTCCATGGCCATGATCCCTTTTCTTGAAAATTGTTGCACATAACATGTTTTTCAAGGATGTCTTGGACATCATGTGCAAGGTCTTGTACTTGCTTGATCCATACTTGTAATTCTTCTTCTTCTTCTTCCGCATCAGCTACTCTTGAGAAAGTCCTCATATGTTCAAATGCATCCCTGATATGAACAATTTCTTGTTCAATTCCTTCAAGACATTTTTGTCCACCATTGAGCAGGGTTAAAAGCTGATGTACCAAATAAGTTATAGCACTCTCTGCCATTTTTTTCACTCAGTATATAGTTTCTTTAGCAAAATTTATGCAATATGTTGGTATAATTTATGGTGGACCTTGGCGATAAAACTTTGAACTGGTTTATGCTCCGGAATCGCGTTATATAAATGATTATTGCAAATTGCAAGGTTAAAATATATTATCCTAGTTACTACTAGTTTACTAATACTAGTTGGAGTATGTCTCTTATAATATATTCATGCTATATGAGCTGACTTTGAACACACTTATCGTGGCCAGCTATTTGGAGGTTACTTCATTGACTATTGGCTGTCTAGAAACACTGATTTTCAACTTGAATCTTTACACAAGAATCTCCGATATATTACTCCTCTAAAATAATTAACATAAGCATGTTGTGCAAACTTTGCTATAGTATCCTAGCGACATTTTTCTCATCCCGAATTGAAGTCGTATGGTCTATATTTGCTGATCTTCAAGCTCGTAGAATAATTACTCAATACTTATGTGTTAAGTGTTGTTGAGTGATGAGAAAAAAATTATTTGCTAAATCCTTGCCCGCAATAAGGTATTCCATACCTGCTCGTGTGGTCAGTTTAATTATTCACCATCGGCAAGGTTGACAAAAGAGAGGTTCTGATACCATCAGTAACAGTCCTACCCGCTAGTGATATTGTCCGCTCTGGGCCTAGGTCCGCACGGGTTTAAAACACGTCACTAGGGTCTAAGGCTTGTTAACTTATATACCCAGCACCTCTCTTGTGTTTTGCCAATGTGGGACACTGTCTAAAGTCTAGGGTGTTACAAGGGCAACAACAGTGCTAGATGAATACTAGTAAGCCAAGCAACGCGATCTTGTATATATATGATGCTCAATCTACCAAAGTTGTTGTTTGGATATTTTCTGGAAGTATTTTTTCATCCATTTGAACTTAGGAGATTGTAGAAAAATCCAGTGGAAGAAGAGAAAAATGAATGGAAACTATACAAGCTTAATTCAGTTGTATATGCTGAGATGCCAGAAAAACAAACGTAGATAGCTGAATTCTACATGAAAGTTAAGTTGTAAAAATGATACTATTTACAGTTAAAGAAAATCGTATGGAAAAGGCGTTCATGATCCAAGAGAAAGTTCAGAATGTGATACCTAAGAATGAGAAAATGAGGAGTAAAGAGTAACATTTAGAACTATTAATAACCTGGGAAATTTATAAATTTAATTATCAAAGATAAAATGGTACATTTCAATGGGACTTCTTTTGCCTTTTCGTGAATCATCCCATTTCTATCTGCATTCCAGCTTATTAACTGGAAACAACCTCTTGCAGAAATGCAGGGTAAGGCTGCGTACAATAGGCCCTTGTGGTCCGGCCCTTCTCCGGACCTCGCGCATAGCGGGAGCTTAGTGCACCGGGCTGCCCTTTATTCCAACTTATTAACTACGCTTCTATGTGAAGTCTAGGAATATGAGCAATTTTCCAGTAATCCCCACTTTGACTGTCCTTAAGTTGCACAGTCACTAACAACTTCTCAGAAATTTGTTCCAGCGAAAGATACTGAAGCTTGCTCAAATTCTCAATCCCGAAGGGCAACTGCTCCATTAATCTACAGTTGCGCAGTTGAAGTTCTTCAAGTAAAGGCATTGCACCCTCTTCCACTTTGATTTGCCTCAGTTTTTCAGAGTGCCAAATACATAATTCCTTCAGTTTCTTGAATCCAACTGCCTTGAACCTCAGTTGTTCGCCTTCATAGGCCCGGTCTAGCACCAGTTTTACAAGATTTGGCAAATCTTGAAGAGTGTCTAGTGCACTGTCCATTAATTTGCTCCATTTTAAATGAACTGAGGTCAAGGCTTGAAGAGAAGTTACCCATTGTGGAAACCTCTCTAAACGCCCTTCGAAGACTAATGTTCGAAGGGATGAGTGTGTAGAAGAAAGGGGATAGTGCAAATCAATAATGTCACTCACCCCATAAGATGAGATACATAGTTGTTGAAGATTTATCAACTTGTTGAGGGAAGAACAAAACTCCCTTCCATGTTTTCTTCTCAGCTTTGCGATGTATAACATTCTTAGTCTTGTTAACTTGCCCAATTCAATCACCGTGCTTGAAGTGGCGTTTATAGAATTCACCATTTCCAAAGACACGAGGGTTCCTATCTTCTTAGGAGCTTTAAAACCATGCAAAAATCCAGCACCACGTCGATGAATGAAGATATGGCGAAGATGTTGAAGCTTTAGTATCTCACCAGGTAACTTTTTTACCAATGTCTCTCTTAGGTCCAAGAACTCGAGGTTCTCAAGCTTTCCTATTGATCCTGGCAGATGTTTTATCTTAGTTTTCCTCAAATTTAGAAACTTGAGATGAAACATTTCAAAGACTTCTTCTGGTATTTTCACCAATGGGGCTCCTGTTAGGTCTAAGACCTTGAGTAGCTTAAAACTTCCAGTTAGCAGCTTCAACAAGAATGAATTAGAGACAGAATCTGACGACCCCAGCGTTATTAGAGAGTGAAGATGCTTAAACCGATCAATATCTTGTATATCGCTAGCCAATGGATCAGCGATTACTAGATGTCTGACTTTGTGAGGCTTTCTTGTAATTTCTTCACTATTAGTTATAGTTGCAGTTACCCTTTCTGCTGACTTGGAAAAAATGATTTCGTACCACAAGTTATGAATGGTGAATGAATCTAATCTTCCATCACAGTACCTTTCAGCAATTTGGATCAAACTTCTGTTAGCAAGTTCATTGAGATAGCTTGCAGCAACTTGTGCAATTGCCTTTCCTTCACTTTCAAGGACAAGTCCTTCTGCTGCCCACAGTCGAATCAGTCTCATCTTATCGATGACATGAAATTCGGGAATTATGCTCAGATATGTGAAACAAGACTTGAGATAGAAAGGCAAGTCTTGATAACATAGAATGAGTATCCTTTTCATGTGCTCGACTTCGCTATAACTACCTTGTAACTTGTCAACAATGCTGCCATGAAACAACTCCCACTCCTCTTTTCTTTGCCCTTTAGTAGCCAAAGCACCAGCAATCGCCAAAATCGCCAGTGGCAGGCCTCTGCATGTCTGTATAATGTCTTTGGAGATTTGCATTAGAGATAAAGGGCATAATAGGCTGCCTGAAAATGCCTTTCTGCAGAAAAGAATCCAAGATTCTTCTTCAGACAAAGGCTTCAAACTATAAACATGACTATCACCACCAGTTTCTGCACAAATGGTATGGCATATTTCAGCAAAACGCAATATGATGATTACCCTGCTGCCACAGTTTTCGATAGGAAAGATACATTTGAGAGCCCTCCATGTGGCAATATCAGGGACATCATCAAGAACAATAAAGTACTTTGATGACTCAAAGATTTGTTGGATTAACTCTGCCAACATGTTAGCATCCATTGCTTCAATTGCTCGACGGCTATGGTCATTTTTTGGAGTAATCATGTTCTTCATTAGCTCCTTAACATCAGAAAACCTTGGAATCTCAATCCACTGTGTATGATTGAAATGCTTTTTCACTGCTGCATCATCATATACTTTCTTGACTATGGCGGTTTTCCCTATACCTCTAGTTCCAACTATACAATGCAATTTCCATTCTTGATCATCAGAAAGTAACCAATCAAGAATCACTGGTTTGTGATTTTCAATTCCTACAAGATCTGATTCATCAACCAGAACTACTTCTTCATAGTTATTACACAATGTAGTAATGTTTCTATTCTCAGCACTTAGTGTGACACCATATTTCTGAAGAAATGCTTTATGTCCTTCAGAAATGACGATGATTCGGGCTTTGATGCCTTCCAATAACATTGAAAGATTATCAGTTTGAGATTCAAAGAAGTTCTCAGACATTAATGAATGATGGGGTTTTTTCCAGGGCCATGATCCCTTTTCTTGAAAATTGTTGCACATAACAACATGTTTTTCAAGAATGTCTTGGACATCATGTGCAAGTTCTTGTACTTGTTTGATCCATACTTGTAATTCAGCATCTTCTTCTTCTTTTGCATCAGCTACTCTTGAGAAAGTCCTCATATGCTCAAATGCATCCCTGATATGAACAATTTCTTGTTGAATTCCTTCAAGAAATTTTTGTCCACTATTGAGCAAGGTTGAAAGCTGATGTACCAAATAAGATATAGCACTCTCTGCCATTTTTTTCACTCAGTATATAGTTTCTTTAGCAAATTTAATGGAAGATGTTGATATAATTTATGGTGGACTTTGGTGATCAATTTATATAGATAAAACTTTGAACTGGTTTATGCTCCAGAATCGCGTTATGTAAATGATTGTTGCAAATTGTAAGCTTAAGAAATATTATATATCCTAGTTATTACTAGTTTACTACTACTAGTTGGAGTGTTTCTCTTATTTTATATTCATGCTATATGAGCTGACTTTGAACACACCTAACGTGGCCAGCAATTTGGAGGTTGCTTTGTTGACTACTGGCTGTCTAAAATTTTGGTTGTCAACTTTGGACAATACGAGTGGCATAAGTTATTTCTTATAAACATGCTTTCGAGAAGAAAGTCGTGATGAGTGCTGACAAGCCATTCAAGTTTTGTGGTATATAATATGTCCAAATGGTAAATAAGAATAATTACAGTATTGCATCCTTCATGTATGGTGACTAACTATCTTTCTATAGGGATAGACAACATTAACCATATTTTAATTAAAAAATTCATATGGTAAAGTCTTACTATTATCTTTATGTATTTGGGAGTTTCGTTTAACTTTCTTGCATAAATACATGGGGCAGAAGTATTAAATGTATCTAGTGATATTTTAGCTAGCTTGACAAGGATTTGCTTAATAAGGAACTTGTGCATATACTATTAGGGGTCGTTTGTTAGAATGTATAAGAATAATGCTGAATATGGTATATTAGTAATGCTGGTATGAATTAGTTATGCTTGCATTAGCTATGCTGACATTAGTTATGCTGACATATTTCTTATCCATTGTTAGGTTTGATGTATTAAGGCATTACACAATTTTTAAAAGAATTATTTGTTTACAAAAATACCTTCATAACTAGTCCATCTCTTTATCTTTTTAAAAGAAACATATGTTGAAGAATGTTTTTATATGAAAAAGGTTTTAAAAAAATTATTTGATATGTCTACCTATATTGTAGTATAGAACTGAATATTTATTTATAAAACAGAAAATATGCTAAGTATTTATTTATTTATTTACTAGGGATATAAGATATAATTTTATTTCCCACTTTCTTGGATTATTTCAAACTTGCATTAATATAATAGCATTTTCAATCAAACATAAATTTTGAAGGATGATTTTGTCTTTAACTAAGCTAATGCATGCATTAAAACTCATTGCAATGTTAATACCATGGTTTCTTATGCATTAGTTATGCATAGGATAATACCAAATAGGGTGTATAACTAATGCATGCATAACTAATGCATAGGTTCAAAAAGTTACCAAACAATGCATTATTAATACACAAAACTAATGCATGCATTAGTTTATCTAATGCATCCTACCAAACGACCCCTTAGTGTAGTGTTGTACGTCAAGTTTTTCTTTTAAGTGGACTAAATGCGCTCAAATATAGCAAAGTTAGAGGGCGATTAGTTCTCAAAGTAATATATGAAAGACAAAATTAGATCTACCAATTGGGCAAATCCGAAATCCAAACCAAAATCCGATTTTTTGAATTTTTGGTTTTGGATTTTCGGATTACGGATTGGATTTTGGATTTAATTTTTAAAATTTTGGATTTCGGGTTGGATATTGGATTTGGTACTTCGGATTTTTGGATATCCGAAAATCCAAATTTTTTATACTTTATATTTAGTCCATTATCCATATGCCAATAGTAATAAGTTCATACCCTACCCATTAGATGTTATCTCATATATTCAATATTAATTACTAAGTTACTATCAAAATACTTTTTATTTAGACATGATTTTACTATTGCTACTTCTTATCGACCATATTAGTGTCTTTGTTGTATTTTTTGATAATAATTTCATTACTTGAATACTTTATTTGGATGATTGCGATAAGAATGAGGAACTTTTTAGGCAATTAACATGAGTACTCCATTTGGATATTCTTTTTTTGTACAAAGTAGAAACATCTTAACTTTTACGCTCAAAACCGAAAATTCATAATATCCAAACCGATTAATCTGAAACCGAACTTAAAAAATCTGATTCAATCCGATCTTATTTGGATTGGATTTGGATTGTCGTTTCTTCGATCCGAAAATCGAAAATCGAAATCGAAATTCTCATATTCAATCCGAACTGTCCGAATGCCCATCACTGCTACCAATCTCCAGGTTTCATCAAAGCTTGCATTTGGTTTCTAAGGGGAGGAATTCAAGATCAGTTTCTGGAGGGAGGATTGCAAGATCAGTTGCTGATGCTGATGTCCAAACTCAGGTTGCTGCTGGAGACGGGGGCGGAGCCAGGGCGGCCCTTCCATAAAGCAACTAAAGCAACCGCTTTAGGCCCCATATTTGTGGAGGCCTCATTTTATGTTACATCTAATAGACTATGTATAAGTTTCAAAAAAGGTTCTGTGAAGTGAAAATGTTTGATTTCTTTCTTTAACAAATATAAAGAAGAAGGATTTGCAACTGCTATGATTTCTACCAAAGAAATTGCACTTGAAATGAATATCGAACCCTAATTTCGTAAGAAACGTGTGATATATAGGAAGTAACAATTTGATGTGAATGTTGATAAAGAAATCTCAAAATCTTTCGAAGGGTCCTTTAGAGTTGATTACTTTTATACATAATAGATAATACTATTTTTTCACTTCGAAATAGATTTGAACAATTTAAAGCATATGAAAATATTTTTGGTTTTCTAGTTGGCAATAAAAATTAAAATCACTTGATGTTAGAAATTTGAAAAAATATTGCCTTAATCTTGAATGTTCCTTAAAGCATAATAATCAATTCGATATTGATGGTTTAAATTTATTTTCTAAATTAAGAGTATTAAGGAAAATAGTACAATTAGAAGATTACAGTTTAATTGATGCACTTAATCAAATAAAAAGATTTAATTCTTTTTCAAATACCTAAATTTCTTATAGAATAATGTTAATAACTCATGTTACCGTTGCTTCATCAGAAAGAAGTTTTCAAAATTAAAATTGATAAAATCTTACCTAAGAACAACAATGTCACAAAAAAGGTTAAATGTATTGGCTATATTGTCAGTTGAGAAATACTTATTAGGAGTTACTGATTATAAGAAAACCATTAATAACTTTGCATCTAAGAAAAGCTAAAAAAAAATAGACTTGAAATAAATAATAAAAAAAATAAAAAGTTAAGGCCCCTCAAAAAGTTTGGTTTTAAGTCACAAAATTCGTCAGGCCGCCCCTGAGCGGAGCTAGAAGCCTGGATGCGATTTCGTTTGAATACAGTAATTTTTGCTCAAAGAGTGTATTTGTGAAGAAATTCATTAAGTATGTACAAATATTAAATTTAGAACTCAATTATTAACACTTGAAGTCCTTGTTTCCAAATTCAAAACTCATACAGTTAGAAATTCTGATTCTGCCGAGGATATCATCAGGTTCTTGCAGACAAAGAGGTTCTTACAATGGGAACTAATAGTAACCATCTTTTAAGACTATAGTCTCCTTAGAAATATCAATTTAAGAAACAATTTCTATTTATCGAAATAGTACAGATTCTTGAATTTTATTCTTAGGAAAGGATATATTTTTTTAGGGAAATTAAGCTATGCCATAAACACACTCGTTTGGACTCTCAAAAGTGCGAAATGCCATTTACTTAGTAATAGAGCTGTCAATATAGGCTTGGCCCGTTGGGCCACCCCAGTCTAATTCGTGATTTAGCAAGGTTAAGCTAGAATATTTGGAGCCCATTTAGAATCAAGGCTTTTAAGCTGGCCCGAATAAGCCCGTAGCCCGTAAGACTTGACTGAGGCTGGGCTGGGCCAGCCCGTGGGCCTAAAAAAATATGTATTTAAAAAATATAGATATAAAAAGTATATATATAACACTAAAAATAACAAGAAAAGTATCTCAAGCTTAAAGTTTATTAAGCTCATCATATTAAAAGATCAATGTTTTAAAATGTTAATTAGTTTTTAAAATTTAATTATACTTAATATTTAACTAATTAATATTGCATGAATTAAAGATGTAGATGAAAGTGAAGATATTAAGACAACTTTCTCACAAGCAGATTCAATGTGTTTGATCAAGATGATGTGTTGGATATTTCATAAGCGTCATGAACGTTCTTTTGAATAGTTTGGTTTGAGTTTTGACTTTTAGTGAATGAAATATAGTCTTGTCTTTTACTTTTTTAGTGTTTATTGTGATATATTGGAACAGTATAAAAAATTATTAAGTTTTGTGAAATTTTTCCATTAAGATTTTTTAACTTTTAAATATTTATGTTTTTTTAGGTTAGAACTTAAAAAAATATAAAATTATATTTTAAAAATTGATGGACCGGCCTGCCCATATTGACATTAGTAATCCATGCAAATACTTTATCGAGTGGCTTATACTATTGGACAGTATTGTTTTACATGGGAAGGAAAAGTCAAATATTTCTCTCAAAATAGACAAACGTACGTGCGTGTGGCAACCGCCAAAAACTCTATATAAATATAAAGTTGGGAATGAAAAAGCTGATATGTCACTCTCTAAAGCCAAGAAATCTACTTATCTATTTTCTCTTTTTTTGGGGTTTTCTCTATTTTTCCCAACCATTTGAAGTAATGAATTCGTTTAGTTAATTAATCTAATCTAATAACTGAAAAAAATTTCATCAATTAATTGTATGGAAATTAAAACGGTAATCACCTTAAATGCCTTTTATAACCGACACTACATTTATCATCCACACTCAAATAGTAGGAAAGGATCTTAACCAAGATACAGTTCAAATTGTAATTATATATATATATTATTATAAGTTTTCTTCTATAACTATTAATTCTAACAGTTTTCACCTCAACAACTTTTTTTCCTCTTTCTTTTTTCCCATCTCGTGCAACAGATCTTTTTTTTTTTTTTGGCTTATAACACCTGATCGACATAGTAGGCTATTGAGATGGTAAGGCATTAAGTTGTGATGAGATATTATTATTTGAAATTAGTTTGAGAGGTAC